TGCCTAACTGTTGTGGTTTAGGGCTGGGTTGTGGGTTTTTTCTGCCTTTGAACATTACTCTATTAGGGAGATTTTAACATAACTCAGTGAAAGCTGAATCTACCACTGGCTGAAGAACACAGATACCTACAAAAACAATGGTGGGGTGGGAGTTTGGGGCGGGGAGATTCGTTTGTTTATGACAAAGCTGTATATTGCCCTGATCCTGCATGGGTGAAGGTGGTTGAATGTTGAATTCTTGTAACTGGTTTCAGTAAGATCTTGATTTGTACTGGTATCCATAAGGGGAATAATACTGTTAGCAAGGTGTTTTAATGCCTTGCACCCAGGTTTAATATCTTTAATCTATTCATAGAATCATAGAATGGTTAGGGTTGGAAAGGACCTTAAGATCATCAAGTTCCAACCCCCCTGCCATGGGCAAGAAATACCTCCGAAAAGTAGAAAGTTACCCAAACTAAGAAATAAACCAAAAGACTATTTTCAGTGATGAAGGCTGGGAGAATGAGTTTTATTGTGTGTTCAGCCTCTAACTCCCCTCATCCCTTCTCCTGGATTGACCCCTAATGGGATGCGGCACAGGCACTGCTGACCAGCGCTGCTGTGCTACCACTGCTGTCAAGGTGGCAAATGGGCACCCCTTGGGTCTGCCAGCTGGGTACTGCTGGTCCCAGTATTACTGCAAAGGAAGCAGAGGGAGAAAGCAAACTAGAATGGAGAATAAAGGACACTAATTATTTTAGAGGGACACAGGACTGTTAACTGACGAGGAGGAATGATACCAGACGAAACAGGAGAAAGAATCCATGTGCAGTCAATAAAGGAAAAAAGTGACTGCTGTGCCAAGACACAGTGGAGGGAGAAGCTTGAAGGCCTCTATTAGTCAGGTCCTTGTGGGAGGAGAGCTTGACACAAACAACCAGAAATTTGACAGTTGCGGAAATACAGGAACAAACATGAATTGGCTGTTTTACTTCATGTACACACACTGTGATCCTGACACCTGAACGCTGGCACCATCCTGCCCCAGTGCCTGGATAAAAATTGCATGAGACCTGAGCACACAGTTGAGTTACTGGGTACCACACAGTCAGCCACAGTGTAGTTTTATGAGACAGAGCATAGGGATTTAACAGCTCACCTCACCTGTAGAGTTTCAGGTGTTTCTCTGGTTCTGGCTTTGTTATTTCCCCCACTAAACCCATGCCAGCACAATTGCTCATAGCAGGAAACCTACTCAGAAAAAAAAAAAGACTGGATTAAAGCAAAGTTAACAAATATGATATATTGAAGTTATTATCCATCACTCTCCATAAGACTGAGATTTTAATGGAATGAATAAAGACAATTATTTGGAAAGTTCTGGCTTTTAAATTGCAGCCGTTCTCACCCTCAGTGCTGGAAACCAGTGCATTAAAGCATGGGAAAGGAAATGGAAATCCAGGAGCCCAGACTTGAGGCTTGTTACTTGCTCAGTGTGGGGAGGGTTAGTTCTTCTCCTACGGCTACAGTCCCTGATGAAGAGTCCCTCTCCAGCATCCTTGCAGGCCCCAAATCAAGTAACTTCCCTGCAGGAAGACCTATTGGCAGTTCAATTTCTGCAGCTGTAACTCCTAAGATGACATAGCTAACTGGCATGTGAAAGCAGGAATGGCAACACAGACTCAGAAGTGTGGCTTTTAACTCAGCCCTTTCTGCCAGCAGTTGACTGCTTGACATAGGTCACTGTCAATAAATGTGCATTAGCATACCCTGACAGAGCTAAGATCTAAAACTTCACTGTCCTTTTATTCCTTATTTCTCAAGTCTGTCTATCCTGCTTATACTAGTATAGTAGGATTAAGTATCAGCTTGTAACTATCAGAGATCATGGTTGCACAAGGCTTTTGGGATGCTGAGGTCAAGATCCGAACATTAATATTTCCGTCAAAGCCCTGACGGTTGTACAAGGGTTTAGGGATTTCCACTAATTGTCTGCTCCTTTTGCAAGCCCTGGTGGCTCTCTTTGTAGACCTATAATTCACAGCTTCATTCTACGTACTGCTTAGCATGATAGGATATTCTTTAATACAGGAGGCTTTGTTATTGCACTTTTTTTGTTGTGGTGGTGATGTTGGCATTTTTTAAAGTTGATACATGCAATGTAAATAACTGGTGGAGTAACTGCTAATGAATCTCTCTCCATTGTTTAGTTACTCTAATCAATTCTGTAGCAGGCATGTGTGAAAACTGTTCAGGTACATGCAAAACCTGCCCAACCTGAACGCCCTGTCTAAGGGAATTTTTCAAGCATGCCATTAAAGCATCTACTGCTGCAGTTAAAAATACAGTGGACCTACACTGATCGTATGTTATTGCATGAGAAGAGAGAAAGCCCTACTGTGGTACCAGCAGTCAACTCAGTGAAATGAAGGGGTTGCATTCAGAATTTGTGTGAACACATAGGAAGTTTTGAACAGCATCATTGAGGATTGGGGACAGTTATAAATGTGGGGAGGTTAGCAGCAGGTGCTGACTACTTTGACAAGAGAAAATTGCCTTTTCTAAAGCTCAGCAAGGTGATGTACAGGAAAAGTTGATGCATAGTGAGTCAGAGTGCCTCACCAGTCATAGAGGAAAAGGAAATTCTGAAGACAGTGGTAGAAGAAAGCTGGACTGGTCCTGAATTCCCTACTTCCCAAACATATTTAAAATTTATGTTTCCCTTAATCAAAGGGTCTTTCCTCCCTGTAGACTTGTAAGAACTGCTTCCTGATGGAGCAGTTTCTATGAAATCAGTAGTCAGCCCTTACAAAGGGAAGTGGCCTTCTGGGTGCAACACTGTCCAAGGGCCCTGAGGGCCTACGTTCACTCCCTGTATTTGGAAGGCATATTGTACAGCTCAAATGAGTAAACAAAAAATATTTGATCCAGTTCCAGTGGATGTCCTGTGCAGCTATTACCCTTTCAAAATATTTTGAACAGTCCTGGTAAAGTGATGATTCTGTCCCCGTGAAAAACGTTGAGTCATTTGGCTGCGTTGTTTGAATTTGGTACAAGGAGTTCCAAATCCTGCCTCATGGACTGAGATTTAAATTTCTCTTTACATTTAGCTTCACAAATATTTCCTTTGAAACATTTGAAGCCACCCGAACAGATTTGGTAACCAGCATTGTTATTGACCTGCTTCGCAGAAATGGTTGTGTGGAATGGTCAAGGAAAAGGCATGTTGTCATGCAAAAGTCAGCGTCACCTCTGAAGAACACATGCGCAGAACTGCACATTTAGTTCCTTCTCAATGAGAGCGTTTTGTCTTCTCTGCCTGCTCTACCTAATTCCTTTTAGGATATGAAGTCTATAATGTATGCACTTGTCTATACACACACACACACAAACTGAAACATGCTGAGTGAGCCTCAGATGTGCTGTTCCCAGGTATTACTACTATTATCACTGCTCCCCTTTGTGCTACTGGGGTAGTTTGCCAGGCCCCGATGTGAATGGGCTCAGTACCTACCTACTTAGGAGGTAACTACCTGTTGTATTAGGAGAAATAAGGGGACTGGTCTGGGTACAGGGGAAAGCAGGAACTCCTGAAGTGGCCAAAGACCCTTGTCAAACCAGTGCAAGCATCTTCCTGTGAAGAGCAAACGGCAGCAGGAAGGTGCTCATTACCTCAGCCCTCTGTGGAGGAAATAAGAAGGGGCAGAACAGGAATATCCAATAATCCGCTATGGCGGCTTTCACTAGCTAGCGCGGTTAGAAGCATCTGGCAAGGCAAGAGAGGAATTTGTCTGTCTTGTGTGCTGCTTCACCCCTTTGTTTTCAAGCCTATTACAGCCTTGACAGCAACTGAGCCATTGCTCAAGAGGAAAATGCCATGCTGATCAACGTTAGCAGCATAAAATGAAAGTCTGTATGCAAACTGTAGATCCAGCTCCACTTTAAAGACAACTTAAAAGATGCTGTGTTGAGCATCTTATGTTATTGGTTGTCACACTGCAGTGGAAGAATAAAGATTTACAATCCTGTAATTAATTTCAGAACCTGAGGAGCAGCACACATGATGCACTAGGGGTTTTCAGTTCCCAAATAGGTAACTCAGCTATGCTACACTTCAACATCTGTCATGTTTACTAATCTTAGTCTGACCCCTAGTGAGCTGTCACAGAATAATCAGATTTATCTAACAGATGCTGTGCCTTCCTGACAGACAGGTGGCTACCACAAAAAGAAGTCATCTATCTACTTTCCAACCCCATCTTAGAAAACTTTGGAACCTTTATCAGTAGGTTAAGACAAGAAAAAATCAGCTCAGAAATCATAAGCCCTTCTTCTGAATGTGTGGGTGAGGAAGAGCAAAAATGATCCAGTAGCAAATTCATTTAGCTTACCTTTGCATATAAAGTGGGTTTTCCCTCCTTCCCTCCTTATTTTCTGGGCAATTTTGAGCTGCTTCTCAAGATTTATGAAGAGATTTTTCTCTCTGAAGGAGATGAAGTGGAAGCTGCATCTGGTTAGATATGTTTAAATTAACAAACACTTAGTAAGACAAAAAAGGGGTGTAAGTTAAAGCAGTAATGACATTTTAAAGGACCTGAATAACTTGCCTAATTTTTTAAGCTATTAGAAGCTTCTATGTTTTTGTCAGCTTTAACCTCAGCATTTTGTTCATACTGGATGCATCTTGCTCAGTGTGTTCATGCCAAGTAGTTACAGGCCAAAATACAATCACTGTGCGCTTGCCTTGGCAATAATACAAGCACAGTAAATTTTTTATGGATTTCCCATGTGAAGATCCATTTATCAACACACTGAGAAATTAAAAAAAGTAATTTGCCCAACCTCTGAAACATACCCATGACAGCATGTGCTTGTTTGGGGTTTTATAAAGCAGCTGTAGCCAAGGGGACTATCTCAGTAGTAGTGCTCTCTGTCTATGGGTATGGGGTATTTGTGTCACATCCAGTTTGCACAAGATGTGGTTTTGACACCTATTTCCATCCTTCTGCTCCTTACAGGCATTTTGAAGTTTGTGGAAATCATGGTCAACCTCCTGGTGCTGATTTGTGTGGGCGCTGCCCAAGCCTCTGTTGCAGGCTTCACGTCCCTTGGTGGCTTTGGCACCGGCTCCTTTAGCCTGAATTCAGCCTATAGCCCCTTTGAGGGCACAGAGCTCCAGGAGGTGAGGGAGCTAGACATGCAGTTCACCCAGATGCGAGCCCCGTGCGTGTATGGCGGAGTAGCCTTCAGCTTAACAGCAGCAGCACTTACCCTTGTCTTCCTTGTCGTGGGAGCAAAACCCATCCAGCAGCTGAGGACAGGGCTGCTGGCAGGTGAATGTGCCTTCAACCTGCTGGCTGGTGTGGCATACGTCGCAGCAGTTGGCCTATACCTGCATTTTGTCAGCCAGGTGAATGCCACGGAGGTTTGCAAGAGGCGCGAGAGGCTGTATGCACGCCGTGGTTACACCTCCATGAACTGTGTGGTCCAGGGCGGTGATGCAGCTGTTGGCCTTTTTGGTGTCGTTGCTGCCTGTTTGTACTTCGCCAGCTTTGCGATCTGCATCCTTGCTATCCGAACCGTCCGTGCCTTCCAGAGCCACATGGCCAAGATTCAGCACAGCCCCAAAAGTGGCATTAGAGACAGAAGTGTCAGCAACCACCATGCCATCCATAGGACCCCAGAAAGGTCCCACAATGTCCAGGCTCTAGCCACATTAGTGTGAAGTCAGCTCTGGGGCTGTGCCAGAGAGCTGGAGCTTCAGGAAGGGACAGACACTGAGTGGCACATGCCAAACTGGTGACCAGACCACAATGTCTTGTTCTACAAGTTGCTGAACTGTGTATCAAACCACCAAATATAACAATACTGCTATCACATGATGTAATAAAATTGATGTTCAGCAGATGTTTTAGCAAGGGGTTTTGCATCAGTCTCTCAGGCTGGACTCCTGCGTTTAAAATGTGTTTGGTTGTAATGTCTTCATCCTGCACAGAACAATCCAAACAGCAATGGGCTGTTAACAGGTTGCAACCATAGCACTGTCAAACCTATGCTAACAACCACTTCCTTTCCCATGACATGAGGAATCGAGTACACAGCTAGGATGCACAGCCTTCAATGGATCTCGTGCCGGTCGATGCATCTTATTGCCTTATTCCACGCTGCTTAGAAAGCAAAAGACACTCAAGTGCTTCTCTGAATCACAGCCGAAGTTACCTTTGTGACCTTTTGTACTTGGGCTAGTGGAGCATTCTGTCTTTTGAGTCACAGGGGTTGGCACATGCTGATCACGTGCTCCCTGGGGAATGCTGCTGAGAGGAACTAGCTGCAGTTTCAGAGGCAGCATTTTGATCCTCCTTCAGTTCCCTATTACAGTTTTTCCACCTCACTGAGCACAGATGAGAACCTGGCAGGCAGAGCATTGGTCAGCTGTCAGCTTAGTAAAGCTACCACTTGCTTCTGTAACCACCTAGACAAGATTGGGCTTGCTGACTCCACAGCTGATGGTGGGCAGAGGCTGAACTGGGAACACACATGTCTTCCATGGGAATGCTATAACAGTGACAGAAAGTACATGCGTCCTTCCAATACCTAAACACACAAAGCATGAGTGAACAGCAGTAATTGTGTGCCCCCAGGGTTGAGAAAATAGATTTAAGAGAACTTCTTTCAAGAGTCCTTTGTTTGAGGCAGATGAAATAGATCAGTGGACTTCATAGATGAGGGAGTGAGGAAAAAGGCTGCTCAAAGTACTTAAGATTTGTCAGCTTGCTAGGAGGGAAGAGGCAATTTTGATTCTGGCTGTGCTCACTCCATTTAGTTTTATCTGGCTCAAAGTCATTGCCGAGATGAGGCTTTTTTGAACCACAACAGAGGTTATTTACTGTGTATTTCACACATATATATATATGTATGTATGTATACACACAAGGATCTCAAAGGATTATGTTTAAGGTAATATAAAGAAAAACAAAAAGCATAGTTCTATTAGAAGTGATTACATGAGCCTTTACAATAAGTATTTACCCTTTACATAATACCTGAAGCACTTTGAACACCAAGAAGCTTCACAGCATTATTATGCTTACAGAGTGAAGAGTTTTTCCAAACATGCCATGGCTCACAGTACTAATCCAGTTATGGAATTAAGATTTCCAGCTTTCTGCCCAAACCCAGACCTTCACTGGTATGCTGTAACCAGCTGGAGAGTCTGCTGCAGGGATGTCTGTCATGCAGCTACAGCTGCAGCTAGCCACTCTCTAGGCATTTCTGCCTGCATGCTGCTTCCTGCGCTACCTCTACAGCTTGCACATTTTGAATGCAGGCTTGGTTACATGGTGACACACTGTTACTAACTTACACAAACAGCAAAAAGCAGCTCCTTGAAGTGAAACATTCGAAAGGTAAGCAAAGGCTGCGGGTAATGTATAAATCTTAACTCAGTCCTTAAACAGATGTGAAATATGAACTTCAATATAAGGCTTCTTACTCTGCCCCATTCATTCTTAAATGTTTGCCTGCCATCACTGCAATAGCGATAGTCCTCTGTGAGTGTTGCTTCTGTCTCTTTTGTCCTTGTGTGTGTGGTAAAGGCCTCGTTTGCTGCAAGGTAATTCAGTCTTTAGAAAAACGTGCACAAAGTTTCCCTGTGGACTGTTGCTCCTTCCCTGGACACTTGGTTTCCTCACAGTCAATCCATTTTGGGTTCTTTTCCTGTTAACAGAAGCAATTTTACACATTATATGGAACGAGTCAAAAAGTAGATGCTACTTAAAGGAGCCTGGTTGGAGACTCTGGAGCACACTCACTGCCCTGAGCATCCTGTCTGGCCCCAATTACGTTCTTTCAGCTCCTCACCCAGTTGCCTCCCTGCACTCACCATCCCTTCATGTTTCTCACCTCCACAGCCTCACATTTATTCCTTATATCCCATCTAAATCTACCCTCTTTTAGTTTAGAACTGCTACCCCCTGTCCTGTCACTACAGGCTCTAGTAAAAACTTTCTCTCCTTATTTCCCACGATAAAGTCTCCCTGTAGCCTTCTCTTCTCCAGGCTGAACATCCCCAGCTCTCTCAGCCTGCCTTCATAGGGTAAGTGCTCCATCTCTCTGGTAATTTTAGTGAGCCTCCTCTGGACCTGCTCCAACAGGACCACATATTTCTTGTAATGAGGACTCCAGAGTAAGAAACAGCACTGCAGGTGAGGTCCCGTGAGAGTGGAGCAGAGCGGGAGAATCACCTCCCTTGACCTGTTGGCCACAGTTCTTTTTATGTGGCCCAGGGTACAGTTGCTTTCTGGGCTGCGAGCGCACACTGCTAGGTCATGTCCAGCTTTCCATCCACCAGTACCCCAAGTCCTTCTCTGCAGGGCTGTTCTCAATCCCTTCATCTCCCAGCCTGTACTGGTGATTGCCAGTGCAAAGCCCTGCACTGGGCCTTGCTGGAACTTTGTGAGGTCCACACTGGCCTGCTCCTCAAGTCGCGAGACACAGGTTCCTCTGGGTAGCATCCCTTTCCTTGAGCTTGCCAAGTGCACCACTCAGCTTGGTGTCATCCACATGCTGAGGTCCAGAAGCTCTGCAGGGACCACAAAGAAAGTCAAAGCCCAGTGACTGCCAAGCTTTGTGCTTCAAATTTGTTTCCTTCCCTGCCACCATGAAGAAAGATCACCAGAAAAGAATTGCAAAGAGGAAATACACATCAGTGCTGTTTCCTCCAGTCACCTTCTTGGAGGGAAGTGTAGGAGAGGAGAAGGGAAACTCCAAGAAATACTCCTCAGAGGAGCAGGGCAGGGAAGAAGTAGATTTTCTTCCCCTTAGGAAGGGCAAGCCATATACCATCAAAGCGATTCAAACAACCCTGCTTTCCAACTGTAACAAGACTGTGCTTGGTATCCTGTCGCTGACTTGAAAACCTTCACCGTGCAAGCTGCAAAGGTGTAACACAAAAGCAGGGATTTTCTGGCACACACGTAATGACTAAGGCTGCAACAGGCTGTCGTTCCCAGCTGCCGCTGCAGGTGGTCCTACCCTCCGGGGCAGATTAGCCTTCCCACCTGCTGCTGCAGATGGCTGTGCCCCACCGATACCTCTGCACAGTGGCTTCCACTTATTATGGGACAATAATCTGCAGCGGGATCAGCAAACAAAGGCAGGACAAATGGCTCTATCAACCCTGCCTTTTCTTTAAGCCTTTCCCTGCTGCCTGCCCTGTGCAAGCATGTACTGCTTCAGGTCAGCGCTGAACCTTTTTGTTTTTGAAGCAGCCCCTGCAACCAAAGCACCTCAACACAGTCATCATCACCCTCAGTCCCTCTTTGGTGAAAGGGATCCTCGGGGTGTATCCAGCTTGCCTACTATGACCACCATCAACTTACCACCCGCTGCAAGGGAAATGGTGATAGCAAATGTCAAATCTGTGCTTCCCTGAGAGGTTGTCTTACAGGTAGACAGCATGGCCTCTCTCAACATAAAAGCCTCAGGGGCCCCACCACTGGTGCAGTGGGAAACCCTCTGGCACACCAAGCCTATTCTGAACCTTCAAAAAGAAGAATAAAATGGCCACCATCCCTGGAGATGGTAGGAAATGGATGCAGGTGGCAGGGTGAACTGGAGCTGCCTGGCAGGAGAAAAGCCCCACTGCAGATGGTGGGTCTCCAGTGCAAGGTGCTGGGGTGAGCTGAGCAGCTCATTTATCTCAGAGTTACCTGTGAGATGCTCAGCCAACCCCTCTGGATTTAAACCATCCATTTGCACCTGTCTCCTGCAATACGGGAACAAACAGCTTCAGTCTGAGAGCAAACCCTCCAGCTGAGCTCCCCGGCCATTACCTGTCCACAGAGAGACCCCTCCGCACAGAAGAGCCTTGGAGAAAAACAATCTCTCTTTGCAAAATCATGTCTCCCTGCCCTGGTCTGGAGGGGGAAGAGGGCACAAGACAGTTATGGTGACAACATTTAGAAGCACAATTAACAACCACCTGATCTGCATCCCACCGCTGAGTAAACTTCATTCTAGGGGTTCGTAAAGGCAGTTTTGGGGGAATCTTGTCCAGAACTGAACAAATCAGCATCTAAAGGCACAGGTGTCTCGTTTCAGTGTAAAAGGCAAAACTGAGGGGGGTGATGCTGGAGAGGAGAGAGGATGTTCACTGCTCCAGACAGGCTTAACGCAACCTTTACATTCACCAAATAATTCAGGTGTTTGGCACTGTACATCTGGCGCTGCTGGAAGACCTGCATGTGTCAGGGCACTGCCCTCCTGCTGCTGAGCACCCTCGTGCCATCCACCAAAAGGAAGTTTTCAGATAAGCACAAACAAGTTTTCCAGTTTTCTTAATGAGTTTAAGAAAACTTTCCTGGACTGTATTAAATTTTATCACAGTTTAAGCTTTTCCCATTAATTCTTCAGGAAAGTTCGAGTGTATCCGATGCGGAGAAACCATTAGGATCACAGACCGGCTGTGCAACAGCAGAAACTGAATTAAAGGCTTAGCACTGAGAAAAACTGGGATCGCAGCTTACAGGACAAACTGCTTTAAAGTGATGAGAGTACATACAGGGATTACAGTGCCAAAGAACAGCCTGAATGGAAATTGCTCTTTCATAATCCATGCATTTTACTCCCAGTTCAGATTTATCTTCACTGAAGTTACTCTTCTGGTAGGTTTTCTTCACAACTTACATTCACTGTAACTTGAATAAAGCTACAGATGCACAGCAGGCCTTTGGTAATCCCAATCTCTCAGTTACATTTGCAGAACTCGGGCATCTCCTTTTCTTTTCCAAGACTCAAGTACGTTACTGAAGGGGACTGTGACCGCATTGCTTATGACAGCCATGACATTCGTCATTACTCATCCAGGAAAAGGTGGTGCTCAGTGTATTGCAGCAGCTTAATGCCAGCACAGCA